CAATATATCATATATCAATATATCATATCATGTCAATTAGAGAACTAGGATACATAGCTGTAGAATAACTCTTCCTTGATTTATGAGATAAGTGATGCTAGATAGTCAAGTTTTGGCTCTATCAACAGTGCATAGCAAACATTTAGACCAGTGCTTTCAACGGGGAGGGGGGGGGGGGGATTTGAAGACTATGGGGAGGAATTATTGCCAAAGGGGAATAGGGAGGGGGAGGAATTCGGGGAGGAGATGGGAAGCAATTCACATATAGAAAATCGCGAACGAATATTCGACCCATGGGTCATATTGAACTATCTTGATATGTAGAGTATGAGTTTATATCCGTTCATGGTTGATGTTGAATACATTTCTTAAGTGAAATACGTTTCAAAATGACTGATTTAATTAATTTATTTTGTGAGGGGGGGGGGGGGGGGTATAAGAATTCTTTCGAGGAGGAATGATCTCACTGAGATTGAAAAGTACTGATTAAAACGAAACCACTACAGGTTCATTCAAATATCATTTACTAGTAATTTTGATATATTCCAGCCTTATTATAACAAACAATAGGCCTCTGTTGGTATTGATCAAATATTAATTACATATTATATACTTGAATAGATAGCTGCATGGCAACAGGTGCAAGGACCTATTATCGTAATGCAGAATCTAGTGGCGACACCAGCCTCTCGAGGCTGGGGGTAGACTAACTCAATGGGGAGGCTGCAACTCTGTGGGGGTGTCATGGTCAAAAGTCTTTCGTGGAGTGTCTCGTATGGGTTTCCCAAGAAAAAATTTGAAAAATAGAAATGATTTTATGCATTCTGACACATATTTTGTTAAATTTGTTAAAAAGGAAGTGGAGGTACAATGGGGTTGCAATCCATTTTTCTAAGTGGGGTGGGGGTAGGCTTCAGAGAAAAGCCTCTGTGGTTCGACTCTTTAAAGCTGTGGCCGCGTTATCAGAATCCCCCTTCGATTTAAATCATTTTCGAAAAGATTTCACGTGTTTTTGTTTCTTTAACTTCAAAGCAATGCCACATTCATTTATATAGTTAATATAGAAGCGCGAGGGCGTCTGCTAGTCACTGTTTTAATGGCAGCCTCAACATACAGCCGGCGTTTCAATAGGCTAACAAATAATACTAAGTAATGAATGAATGGCTTAATATTGATCATAGCAAATCCAAACTTGTAGCCATTTGAATATAAGAAACAAAAAAAAACCTGCATAACAATGAATGAATGACTTAAATTAAGTCACTTAATTAATGAATGAATGTTCAGAATATCATATGACCTCGTCGGCACCAAAAATGTCAAAATCCGATTTCAATAACAAAGAACACATTATAGGCATTAATAAAAGTAATTACCTAGCTTTTTGGTTTTATCCATATTGAACTGTCCTAGTTCCTATGTTGAAGTGTATCCACTGTTGTTGGACTGGACTCGTAGGCTGGGAAATGCCTGAAGCGTGAATAACGAAGTAGTTTTATTCTCAACTGTATTCGGGTCGATACGCGAGTCATAGTATGACGGTTACGGATGTTGTATAAAGGCCACGAAACCGTGGTAAAAGGAGATCTTGAACAAATTTTAAAGGCGTAGTATCCAGTAGTGTAGCGAGGATTTCATCGACCGGGGGGGCGGGCATCCCTTTGTTGATTTAAGAGGGCACTAGTCATGGTGGACGGTCAGGATGACCTCTCCCTGGAAAATTTTCTAATGTGAGAGGCCGGAAAATACATTTCCTGCTATTTTGAAAGTGATAGAATATTTTGTGCATTTATATAGTCCCGGGAGGAGGGGCATGACCTCTACGAAGTCAATGAGATTCGCGCTCAAATCTGAAACCTGTTTAATAGATGAACAAGATTTTAGATTTATCTTTAATCGATGAACAAGATTTCAGATATACCTTAATCGATGAACAAGATTTTAGATATATCTTAATCGATGAACAAGATTTCAGATATACCTTAATCGATGAACAAGATTTTATATATATCTTAATAGATGAACAAGATTTCAGATTTATCTTTACTCGATGAACAGGATTTCAGATGTACCCTAATCGATGAACAAGATTTCAGATATACCCTAATTGATGAACAAGATTTTAGATATATCTTAATCGATGAACAAGATTTTAGATATGTCTTAATCGATGAACAAGATATTAGATATATCTTAATAGATGAACAAGATTTCAGATATACCCTAATCGATGAACAAGATTTCAGATATACCCTAATTGATGAACAAGATTTTAGATATATCTTAATCGATGAACAAGATTTTAGATATATCTTAATAGATGAACAAGATTTAAGATATATCTTATTAGATGAACAAGATTTTAGATACATCTTAATAGATGAACAAGATGTGCTTTAATCAATAGCCAAGACATCGCATAGGCCTCTATTCTAGCCTCTGATAGCTATATTGAAAGTTGTAGGCTAGTGTAAAAACAGAAAAACTAGGCCCTGTTTAGTGGAATATTTCTGCACCTCCGTAGATGTGGTTTTTTAAACCTTTTAATTTAAATTGGATCTGCCAAACCCAGATAAATCCGGGAAGATGGACGCTTTTGTATCAATTCATTCATACGGAATTGCCAAATAGCTAAAGACAAATTATAGAACGTCGGTTGCTGTCGCAGTGATTCCCGTGTATGGTGTGATTGGACAGTGAGTAAACTCAGTCGTTAAGGATTTGGATTGTTGTCAGATGGAGCAGAGAAATAGCTCAATCGACTGTAAGATGGATTGTTGTCTGCCAGACCAATGGGATAGAATAGTTCGTCGCTGGATTTGTGGTCTGATTGGAAAGAAAAAGAGAGCTCATTCCAGATAATGGCTCTGGCTCGTAGTTGGATTGTTGTCTGCGGGTAGCCCTATAGGCCTACTTGATTGTCGTCGGATTGGGCATAGGGATTATTCGTTCGGCAATGATTTGGATTGTCATCCGAGATATAGCTCGTTCGGCTGTAAGTCGGATGTTGTTTGCAAGTGCAGTGGGATAGCACACTTAATAGTAGCAAGCTTGATTGTCGTCGGATTGGGCACTGGGATAATTTTTTCGGCAGTGATTGCCGTGTGATTGGACAGTGAGTAAACTCAGTCGTTAAGGATATGGATTGTTGTCTGTTGGGACAGAGATGGCTCATTTAGCTTTAAGTTTGATTGCTGGCTGCTTGAGTAGTGGTGTAGAATACTTAGTAGCAAGCTTGATTGTCGACTGATTGGGCATTAGGATCACTCGACCGGTAGTGAGCGAGGCAGCAGTGAGTTAGCTCAGTCGGATTTGTTTTGTGGACTAATCGGGAAGTGCTGTTGCTCATTTGGTAGTGAACTACATTGTCGTTTGTTAGAGCAGTGGGATACTGAGTTAGATGGTCGTTTGCTTGGCAGCAGTGAGATAGCTGAGACGGTAGAGATTTGATTTGTAGACTAATCGGGAAGTATACCCTACTCATTTGGCAGAGAATTGTAGCCTATTGTTGCCTGATAGAGCAGTGGGATAGCTCAGTTAAGAACAAGCTTGATTGAGGTCTGTAAAGGCATTTAGGATGACTCGGTTAGAAGTGAGATGTATTGTCGTGCGCTAGGCAGCACTGAGTTAGTGGAGGCGACAGGGATTTGACTTGGGGACTAATCGAAAGTAGGGTAGCTCATTTGGCAGAGAATTGTAGCCTAATGTCGTCTGATAGAGCAGTGGATAGCTCGGTTAATAACGAGATTGATTGTGGTCTGCAGAGACATTTAGGGTGACTCGGTTAGAAGTGAGACGTATTGTCGTGCGCTAGGCAGCACTGAGTTAGTGGAGGCGACAGGGATTTGACTTGGGGACTAATCGAAAGTAGGGTAGCTCATTTGGCAGAGAACTGTAGCCTAATGTCGTCTGATAGAGCAGTGGGATAGCTCAGTTAATAACGAGCTTGATTGTCGTCTTCATTTAGGATGACTCGGTTAGACTGGACAAGACGTATTGTTGTTCGCTAGGCAGCAGTGAGTTATCTCAGTCGGCAGAGTTTTGATTTGTGGATTTATCGGGAAGTAGGGTAGCTCATTTGGCAGAGAATTGTAGCCTATTGTCTGATAGAGGAATGTGATAGCTCGGTTAATAACTAAGAAAATTCTGCACACTTCACCTGACAAGATAAAATTATGATTCACTCCTTGACTATCGATGACTTCTTCTCAAACGGCTTCTTCTCTATAATTGCTTCATCCAAGTTATCAAAACATCCTTTATTTTGTAGTTTGGTTGCAATTTGAAGTAATTTCCTTCAAAAAATGTTTTTTTCGTCTAATCTTTTTTTATTATCAATCTATTTTTGGATATAAAATAAACAACTGTGGAGACAAACAATATACAACAAACACAATAAAAACAGAGCTGTTGATTTAAATTATTGTTAGGCTATAGTTAAACTTCCTTGACCCCAGCGGCGTTTCCATGAGGGGTGGGTGGGGGGTATGAAAGAAAAAGAGAGCGGTTTTGGCCCCCCACATTCAACTTTCTTATCATTTTACATAGTGAAAGAATTGCTTGTGACCTGGAAAATTTCCGGATAATCTGTACACCAAGCAAGTCTGACACAACAAGCATATACAGCCAATTCAGAAGGACTTAGTCAGACAGGATTGGTAAATATAATCAAATTCGTAGTATAGAGCTCTGTTCAGACATTGCTAGTAATTACAGCCAATTCTGAAGTTTGAGGCCTTAGTCAGACATGATTGGAAAAACCAACCAAATCAAGAGTTAAGTCAGACATGACTGGTAAATAAAACCAAATCAAGAGTATTAGGCTCTAGTCAGACATGACTGGTAAATACAACCAAATCAAGAGTATTAGGCTCTAGTCAGACATGATTGTAAATACAACCAAATCAAGAGTCAAAAGGCTCTAGTCAGACATGATTGGTAAATACAACCAAATCAAGAGTCAAAAGCTCTAGTCAGACATGATTGGTAAATACAACCAAATCAAGAGTCAAAAGCTCTAGTCAGACATGATTGGTAAATACAACCAAATCAAGAGTCAATAGCTCTAGTCAGACATGATTGGTAAATACAACCAAATCAAGAGTAAAAGCTCTAGTCAGACATGATTGGTAAATACAACCAAATTAGCGGTCTAGATCTATAGTCAGACAGACTAAAAAGAAACAAATCAACAGTTAAGATCTTTAGCTAGACATGACTGGTAAAAACAATCATATCAACAGCCCTGTAAATCATCTACAGGTATTATACCACACTTTTATCACACTTAAAAATCAACTAAAAAAAATCACAGTATTCTGAGGATTGCACTTAATTAAATACAAAAAACTAGAGTACAAAATTGTAAATAATGAAATAGAACACAAGAAACTAATAAAAATTTAAATATTGCACGTACATATGACAACGTTATAAAAAATGGAGGAAATATCATTTGTTATAACAAGAAATGTTTTTTTTTCTGTTTTTAGGGATGAAGTTATCTAATATTTATCCTAACAACTGATAGATATACTTTACCATTACCAATTTCCTTTTTTTTTTAAATTCAAAAATAATGACCCCGAAATCCTACATTATCACATTGCGTCTTGAGAACATAAGACAAACACCAGATCAAAAGTGAACATTGAACATTGTGTTCATTACTTCAACTAATAACTTACCATACATCACTAGACAACTCATTTGATATACAAATCTACTAAACATATACAATCATATATTTTCCACAAGATATATCTACAAAAGTTTTTCACTTGAAGTATAAGAGTGTTTTTTTCCTTGAAAGACACATTCAAGAGTGATCTCCCTTGAATGATATGTTAAAGAGTTATCTCCCATGAGTTATGAAGTAATTGTGGTCTGGTTCCTATACACTTACTAAAAAGTTTTAAAATATACATGTTTCTTTATATACATGCATGCAAAGTACAAAGATTTCTCCATAGCATTAAGTCTACAAGGGTATTCTCCCTTTAATTGAAAGTAACTATAAGAGTTGCCTCCCTTACTAGGCCTACCATTAGTAATATATACAAACACTACCCATATCTATATCATCTTCAATCTCCTGAAAATGAAAAACAAAGTGATCAATCTATTTGCAATAACTCTCCTCATGCTGGAATGTGGAAGCAAATCTGAATACAAGATCGCCTACAAATTATTTAGTAGGGTAATTATTTCGGCAGGTTAGCCTACTAGATACAGCACCCATGATCTGACGCAGTTGTTATACATGCCATGTTCATGAGTCAATTAATATTCAGCCATTCAAATGCTCTTTGCAATGTTAACGGTCTTGGCTGCCTCTTTTTGTTCGCGACTCCTGTGTGCCTGCGCTTCCACAACAAGATTATCGTGTAGCTGACAGAATTTATAATATCAAACCAGTTTGATATTTGTCGCTGATTATTTTATCATCTGCAAGACAGTGTCTCACTATCCAATCAGATTCATTTTCCTAAAATGGCATAATCTGCACGTGATTATTGACATGGTGGAAGACGACCAATCAGAGATTTTTTGTTTTGAAGTGTGCCCACAGCCGGTCGGTGAAACTCTTGACAAGACAAAAATAGCCGACCAAGATCGTTCATGTGCCCGCACAATAAGGAATTCTGGTATATTAATTGTTGAAGGTTGGCTTGTATTGTCCTCTGAAGCTGTGGCACCCAATTAGCTCTGAATCTGTAAATGGCCCTGTTTTAAACCTTACCTAGGAAGTTTCTGGTTTCTCCTCAGTTTCATCCACTGGTTCTGGTTTCATTGTTTCAGAATCTTCAACCGATTCTGGTTTCACCTTAGTCGCTTCTGCTTCTGAATGTAACTCATCGGACACTGGTTCTGGTTCTGAAGAAACTGGTTCATCACCAGTGACATCTACTTTGGATTTTGGTTTCACCCTTTTGACTGGTTTCCTCTCTGGTAAGGTGAAGGTTGTAAAATCGCGTCGATAAGAAAGATTTTTTCTATTCCAATCATAATCTTTACAAAATTTACGAAGTTTATTTGTTAAGAAGACACAATCTTGCCGTGTCTTTACAACGCTATCAGTCTGAAGCAGCCATTTATGTTCCAGACAGTCTTGGACGCTCAGACGATTCCTGAAAACCAAATCACCCAATTAACACAGTGAAACATGTGCATGTGAACATGAATGTCATAACAATAAATAAAGGCAGAAATATCAAGTGAAATTAATGTGTGTTCATCAATAAAACAGAAAAAACAAATTTCATGCTTTGTTATCTTTTTATTTTTGTTGTAAAAATTAGTGCTGGCACGATGTATCTGTGAATCGATGTATTGTGAAATGACATGACATGACATTTATTGACTGAAATTGTTGGAAACTATTTATAAGATGTTAACCATACCAACTAAAAAGTTTTTAACTAAAAATTTTAATTTAATATCGTGCAAAAACTAAAACCCAGAAAAATTGATAAATTACTTACTTGGGTAGTCGTTTCATTATTTTGAAAATGAATTTCAGAGCCTCTTTACTGATATTATCATAGAGGTCATGTGGGTCATACCGATTGTAGACTATATTTAGTAATGTGTGTTCATCTGTTTCACCAGCGTAGGGTGAATCACCACTTAACCTGAAACAAACAAAAACATTTTGAGGAAAACCAATGGAATGATCGTATTAAAGCGGCAATTTTTGGGCAGTCAAAATTTTAGCCTCCAAATCAATGTGTGTCGAGAATTATCAGCTTTCAAAAATTAAAAAGACGACTCGTCTTTTCTTGAGAATTTGCTATTTATAGAACAGAGAGAGTGACATTGAGAGTATTTTAAAAGGAATTTTGTGATTTTTGTACATTACTAGTACTTCTGAAAAGCCCAAATCAACCATGAAAATAGCGAACTTGTTCCTGTACTGTAATAAGAAACTTACATCAAAAATGTCAAAGCAGCCACACCCCAGATATCTGCTGCTTCAGTCACTCTTTCTTGGGCAACAACTTCTGGTGCTGCAAAAAAAAAAAACATCGACGTTAAAATTGATGTAGATTTGTCGAATCATAGCATCTTGGGATCTTGAATAAAAGATTGGATTTTACTCTTTCAGAAGAAGCCAAGTTGACTGAGTTACAGAGTGATGTTGGGTTTGTGTTCACTAATGGTGCGGGCACACGAATGCTCCTTTCTCTATGTCATTAATCTTGTCAAGGGTGTCACCGGAACAAGTACAGGAGGAGTCAAAAATGTCTAGTCAGTCGTTTTCCACCATGTCGATAATCAAGTGAAATGAAAATGAATCTGATTGGATGATGACGATCTGTCTTGCAGAGGATAAAACAATCCTCAAACTTGCTTGATACCATAAATCATGTCAGGAACGCCTAAGATTAGGGTCGATGACAGAAATCGTTGACCAAGATCGTTTGTGTGGTCGCACCTTAAGCAAAACATTATGTAGTTTTTTTATTGTTGTTCTATCGATCGAGCTGTCATAAAAATAGCTTACAGAAGGCAAGAACAGTTATAATCAATAACAAATAAATGCACGGCAAATGTCCTTGAACAGAAATAAACAGAACTTACGAATAAAATCAGGATATCCAACTCTGGGTGCAATGATACCATCTTGATTAGGGATCTTCTGGGAGAGTCCAAAATCCACGATTTTCACATCCAAGTGTCTTCTGCTTACAGTGACAATACTGCTTGGTTGAAGATTAAGATGAGCAATACCGATACGATGTAAGAATTGCAAACCTCCTAAAACTTGACGAATCACTGATGCAACATTGTCCTCCGAATAACGACGTTTAAAAGCTAATTGCCTTACAATATGATCACCATACAGTCTTTCGAAAATAAGATACCAGCTAGCAGACGTAAAATAAACATCATAAAGTCTGATGATTTTGGTATGTCGTATATCACGAAGATTGGCATACTCTGCGAACTTTTCTGGCTCGGATTTACCACTCATTGGAAGGATTTTCATCACTCGCTCTACCTTACTGCCAACTTTGTTACACAATTTCAACTCAGAAAATTTGCCCCTGAAATGACAATAAAAGATAAAGTTAGATTCCTCGTGGCTGGTGAAAATAAAACTTTTTAATTCAAATTAATGAAAGGGCTGAAAGATACAAATATTCACAATTAAAAATTCATAGCAGACAGGACAGGCAACAAAAGCAGTGTGCAATGAAGGAAATTTTGCAAAGGAGAGTGGTACTTGGCTACTATTTCAACTTCCATCAAACGTCCAAGCAAGTATCAGCTGCTAATGAACATCCATTCTCATGTTTATTTCAATATAACAATTACATTGATAAAAGCAGGAGGTTTAAGCTGTGGGTAATAACCCCCTGGAGGATAATTTTGCAAATTCGGGGGGTAATGTAGCGCTTTGAAGTCTAGAATAAAAATTCTGGACAATTATAATTAAAGTAAGGCTATTTTCTCCGATTGCAGGGAAAGCTAAGAGAAATTCACAGAATAGTAAGGATTTATACTGGGAAATTGGGGTAATAGTAAGGATTTATACTGGTAAGGGAGGTAATAGTAAGTAAGGATTTATACTTGGAAGGGGGTAATAGTAAAGATTTATACTGGGAAGGGAGGTAATAGTAAGGATTTATACTTGGAAGGGAGGTAATAGTAAAGATTTATACTGGGAAATTGGGGTAATAGTAAGGATTTATACTGGTAAGGGAGGTAATAGTAAGTAAGGATTTATACTTGGAAGGGGGTAATAGTAAAGATTTATACTGGGAAGGGAGGTCATAGTAAGGATTTATACTGGGAAATTGGGGTAATAGTAAGGATTTATAGGGGGAAGGGGGTAATAGTAAGGATTTATTGGGGGAAGTGGGTAATAGTAACGATTTATACTGGGAAGGGAGGTAATAGTAACGATTTATACTGGGAATTGAGGTAATAGTAAGGATTTATACTGGGAATTGAGGTAATAGTAAGGATTTATACTGTGAAGGGAGGTAATAGTAAGGATTTATTCTGGGAAGGAAGGTAATAGTAAAGATTTATACTGGGAATTGAGGTAATAGTAAGGATTTATACTGTGAAGGGAGGTAATAGTAAGGATTTATTCTGTGAAGGGGGTAATAGTAAGGATTTATTCTGTGAAGGGAGGTAATAGTAAAGATTTATTCTGGGAAGGGAGGTAATAGTAAGGATTTATTTTGGGAAGGGAGGTAATAGTAAGGATTTATAGGGGGATGCAGGTAATAGTAAGGATTTATACTGGGAAGGGAGGTAATAGTAAAGATTTATACTGTGAAAGGGGGTAATAGTAAGGATTTATAGGGGGATGCAGGTAATAGTAAGGATTTATACTGGGAAGGGAGGTAATAGTAAAGATTTATACTGTGAAAGGGGGTAATAGTAAGGATTTATAGGGGGAAGGGGGTAATAGTAAGGATTTATAGGGGGATGCAGGTAATAGTAAGGATTTATACTGGGAAGGGAGGTAATAGTAAGGATTTATACTTGGAAGGGAGGTAATAGTAAAGATTTATACTGTGAAAGGGGGTAATAGTAAGGATTTATAGGGGGATGCAGGTAATAGTAAGGATTTATACTGGGAAGGGAGGTAATAGTAAAGATTTATACTGTGAAAGGGGGTAATAGTAAGGATTTATAGGGGGATGCAGGTAATAGTAAGGATTTATACTGGGAAGGGAGGTAATAGTAAGGATTTATACTTGGAAGGGAGGTAATAGTAAAGATTTATACTGTGAAAGGGGGTAATAGTAAGGATTTATAGGGGGATGCAGGTAATAGTAAGGATTTATAATGGGAAGGGAGGTAATAGTAAAGATTTATACTGTGAAAGGGGGTAGTAGAAAGGATTTATAGGGGGATGCAGGTAATAGTAAGGATTTATACTGGGAAGGGAGGTAATAGTAAAGATTTATACTGTGAAAGGGGGTAATAGTAAGGATTTATACTGGGAAGGGGGTAATAGTTAGGATTTATAGGGGGAAGGGAGGTAATAGTAAGGATTTATAGGGGGAAGGAGGTAATAGTAAGGATTTATACTGGTAAGGGAGGTAATAGTAAGGATTTATACTGGTAAGGGAGGTAATAGTAAGGATTTATACTGGTAAGGGAGGTAATAGTAAGGATTTATACTGGTAAGGGAGGTAATAGTAAGGATTTATAGGGGGAAGGGGGTAATGCAATTGATAAAGGAACCTGAAAGGGGTATAAGAATGAAAAAGGTTGAAAATCCCTGAATCACCCCCTGTGATTTCAGCTCGTCCTGGAAAATCTAAAGATTATATACTTACTTCCACAGAGAATCTGTAAACTGATAATCAGAATCAGGAGAAGCTTTATGAAGTGTTGGACCATCATCTGAATCATCAACTTCTCCATCTTCTCTGGTCTCACGTCTGCTAGTCAATGGTGTAGGTTGTTCATCTGCTTGGTGTGATTTCAAAATGGCTAACTCTTGATCTTCATCCAAATAAATCTTACCACCTGAAAATAAAAGACAAAAATTAAGTGTGCAATGAGGAAAAGTTTTTCCAGGATAGCAGCATTAGGACTATTGTCATTATAATGGCAACTTTTTATCCATGGATCAGCTAAATGAGTTGAGGCCAGTGGACTTAAGTAGGTTGAGGGCCCCTTCCCAGCAACCTGAGATCCATCTTTTAATTTAATGCCTGTACTTAATGCTTATTATGGGGGAAGGACCCTTAGGGGTGGGGTCTATGGACTTAGTTCAACCAGATCCTATGGTAGTTGCTATAAAGATGAAGGTAACAAACCTGATGGTTTTGTTGTGACTTGTACTGACGACCAGGAATAAGGACTCATTCCAAACTGATTGACAGCAGACACACGGAACCGGTAAGCTTCATCTGGTTTCAGTCCCTCAACAACAGCACATTCATGAAGAATCTTTACTACTGTAGTCCACCTTGTATCACCTGTAAAAAGAAAAAATGAAATGAATGGAGTTTTACGTCCTACTTTTCTGCACCTTCTTTGGCTAACGAAGATGGGCAGTGTGCAATTAGAGGATATTAGCCTACTCTTTTCCAATGTACACCTGTCGAGAGATCTCTAAGGTGCACAGCTTTTAGCACACATGGGGCCTCAGTTTATTGTCCCATCTGAATGACTAGATGCTTTTTCCACGTCAGCCCCTCTGACTTACATCACTGATAGGGGGGGAAACCGGGTTGAAAACCTGTGAAAATAAATTTAACTTCCAGTAACGTTGACCTTCATCGAAATTATTGAGAAAGATTGAAAAATCCAAAGGAAGAAGGTGGAATACACTAAGGTAGTAGTCAAGTGGGCGCTGCTAGCTGAAAAGTCTTACCTAGTTTCTTACAGTCAACCTTATAATACAAGATGTCGGAATTTCCATCTGATTTTGGTGCTTCCCAGATCAATAAAGCTGAGTTAGATGTAAGTTGTGTTACTACTGGTCTACCTGGTCGGTTGGGCACATCTACAAAATAGAAACAGTGGATAAAGACAGTTCACAGAGAAGTTGAAAGAAACACCTAAATAGCAGTGCTCCTCAACCTCATTGAGATCTTTCCTCTGCCATATGGTATGCCACAAACAATGCGATGCAGTAAAGAATTAGCAGTCTTGAAATCTCTTTGACAGTTTGGGATTTTTCTAAACCTAAAGACAAAAGGCATAACTTACCTCCAGGTTGAAGTCTTGCACGACAGGAAGTGCGGCCATATTTGTTCCTAGCAACACATTTATAAACACCACCATCATAGGGCTTGGCATGAAGAATTAACAGAGTAGCTGTTCCATCTTCTGCTAGCGATGTTTGAATTCTGGCACCATCTGTCAGTAATTCCTCGTTCCTGTACCATGTGACTGTTGGCGGGGGAGGACCCACAACTTGACATTTAAACAAAATGTCGTCTCCGACCAGATATGCTTTGTTCTGAATTTTTGTTTTGAACAATGGTGGTGGTAGCTCGGCTGAAAGAAAAGAAAATTATCGACATTTAGAGTCAATTCTTGACATTGTTGACATTCTGTGACTCTTTTCTCTTTTTTTTAATTTTCTTTTTTGTTTCTCTTTAGCCGCTGTCCTAGCAATATTTCCCTCATTGCACCCTGCATGGCATCTTCATTAGCTAATTAGTTCTATTTCATTTCTTTTATTTCAATATCATAGTAGACTTTGTACATTTTGGTGGCGCTCGATTGGAGTGTTCTGAACAGGTTCCATATGTTCCAATTCTGGCATCGATCAAACAAACAGAACCAGAATATGTCACATTCAAAATTTTCCCTCTTTTTCATTATCTGCCATTTTAAATTCTATCGGCACTTACTATTTTTTCGTGTTCCGAACTCTGTTCCAATTTGAATCCCAAACATGCAGAACTGTCCAATCGAGCGCCCCCCTAGACTCTGATGTTACACTTAAAATAATGAACATAACAAAAACATTTCCTGAACTTACGATCTCCGGTGACTGAGGAAATGGAAGATCTCTTAGATGGACAGCTGGACTCAACAGGCTCGTATGTTCGATGTTTACGCATACCGTCCAACCATTCCATCTCTCGTTCAATAGAGGGAGGTAACTCTTCTCTATCTACTGATAACATTCTACGTTCTTTTGTGGTAGTGACTTTAGAATCATCCAATATGGCTGACACCTGAATTGGGTCAATGTTATAGTGATTTTATAGTCAACATATATGGCCAATACAGAAATGAGGTCAAGGTCAAGGTTACAATGTCATTAAAATCATCTAATATGGCAAACACTGACTGAAATAGGGTCAAGGTTACAATGACATCAGAATCATCTACCATGGCAACAACCTGAAAATGGGTCAAGGTCATGAGGATAAGGGAAATATTCAATATAATGCCATTAGAATTATCAGCTGACAGCTGAAATGAGGTCGAGGTTAATGTGGCATTAGAAAAAAGACCTCTGAAAGAGGGTGAAGGTTATGACTTGCAGCTGACATGTCAAAATAACTTCATAATCTTTCAATAAGGTCAACACCTGAAATGGGGTGAAGGTCATGACTTTGAAACTGGGTTGGACAAGATTTATAGGCCTTCAGAATAACAATTCCTTATCTGAATCCTTGGAATCCCAGTAAAGATCAAGAGCATTGCTTTGAAAACAAGAAATATACTACACTTACAGCTTCATCTAACTGCATGCTATCTGACAGCTGACTGGAGGCCCTCTGATATCCTCGAACTCGAATGTTATAATCTGTATCAGCTGGAGTACGGAGTTGTCCCTCTTGATGCTGTCGAGCCTGCCAATCATACCATGTCTCCTCATCAGCGAATTCTCCATACGCCGCAGAATCAGGGAAGGTCACCTGACCAGTAACAGGGTCTACCATTGGTTGAAATCCTAGGTCAGAGAGGTCACCATCCATCATTCTTCTAAGACTTCTCAGATTTGCCACAGTTTTAACTGCAGCATGCTTCTCCTAAATATTAAACTTCAGGTTTTAGATTTAATGAAAATTTACTTACAATACAAAAATTTAGGTTCTCGAAGTTCGAATCCACCAGATGATTCTTGAATGAACCTATTGGCAATGATTTCACAACGATAACAACTTCAGTTCTTGAGGTTCCTGTCTACCAGCTGGTTCTTTAAAACATTCACATGCAGATAAGGACACACATGGATTTGATGGCAGTGAACACTATTACTGATTGGCTTAACTGGAAAATTCCAGTTTCTTTGACAAAGGTATGATCAGTCAAACGGATGGTGAACCTGTCCCTTTCAGAAAAAAAACTTCATTTACCTGTTCCTTTATTTTGTTCTGTAAGTGTTTGAAGCTACTGTTGTCCAGCTTGTAAGCCTTGCCATCTTTACCAGCATTCTTAATCCAGGGATGATTCAAACTGTCCTCCATTGTCAGTCTTTTACTGAAATATATACTCATATCATTAATATAGTTATATTACTTTTATATTATGTATCATTGAGAGCAGATAGGCTTATTCTTCTAGACACAAATGACTTTTGGATTCCAGGTTTCAAATTTCTACCTTCTCCTGCTCTGTCATTAGGTGACACAGTGTTTATTTGGTTAATTTGATGAACACTCAAGAGGGCTGTCGTTAGACCCTAACTGAAGTTAGAATATTTTAAAATAAAAGCTAATAAAAAACGGAATGAAAGTCTTAGGGATCTTTAGATATGTCTGGTGTCATTTGTTGAAAATACCTAATTGTTGTCTGCTTGGTGGTTGGAAGTATACCTGCAAAGTATGAGATTCCTGATGCTTTCCAGGTCTGGTCCATTGTCAACTTTCATCACATTTAATATTTTTGCTCTTGTTCAACATACACTGCCAAATTCTTACCTTGGTTCTAAAACTAAAAGCTTTGAAATAAAGTCTTTAGAATCAAGTGAAAATTTATCGAAAATTGGTGGAAATTGAAAGTTGCCTTCCATGACTTTTTCTAAGATTTCTGGATCACTGTCTGCCTGGAAGGGAGTTGAACCACATAATCTGAAATAATCAAAAAAATATATCATCATACAGTCGAAAGATCCTTAGAAGCAGATGTTGGATTTTACTTCTACAAAGTGGTAAAGACAGAAGAAATTAAAAGGATACTACCATTTAGAATTAAAATAAAACTTAAAGTCTCAAACTTAGTCAACAAGAGTATATATTCATCAGTTAGACTTACCAGGTACCATGACTAAAGAATAGAATCTCTATAAAAGACAATATATCCATTAAACTAAATAATTATTGAAATATGCTTCTAAGCTTAAGTTTAATGAATTATTACTTAGTTTTATAGATTTATTAGATTATAGAGAGATTCTGTTGTATAGTTATGACACCAGGTAAGTTCACTGATGAACGAAAACTCATTTCAACCAAGTTTTAAAATTTCAAGTTTTTGGTCATCCTGAGAGGTAGTATACCTTTAAGCTCTATCAGCTGGTACAACAAATATTCAGGCAACTATATTAATTTTAAGCTCTCAGTAGAACATATGCCTCATCTTAGCAGCATGAGCTTCTCTTTTGAGAGTCTGCCAATGTCAGCTTTCAACCTCTATCATTAGAATTAACTTACAATGTGTATGCCATGGCGCCTACAGACCACAAATCAGAGGCAGCACTGACTGGTTCATTGATGACAGCTTCAGGCGAGGCGAAGTCTGGTGTTCCATAATTCATCCTTAATTCTCCAAGACGTTTCCTGGCGAATCCGAAATCAATCAGTTTAAAATCTTCTGAATCTTTCTCGGGGTATAAGATATTAGACGGCTGAAAAATAAAACAAGCAATAGAGTATACTTTCATCATGGTGGCACTCAATTGGAGAGTTCTGAACAGGTTCCGTCTGTTTCAATTCTGCCCCCAATCGACGAACGGTATGAAAGCCATATCACATTCAAAAGTTTTCCATCTATTTCCCTCTCCGCCATTTTGAATTCTGTCTCCATCTTCTATTTTATCTGCAGACGTGGAACACATTTGAACTCCAAATTGTTTTATTGAATGTTCTGTTGATTCCAGAAGTCCTAAATGTGCAGAGCTCACCAATCGAGCCCCCCTCCCCCTAGCAAAATACTGATGAAGTAAAGTTTTCCATTAACCAGAAGACTGACAACACCCTACAGAAATGGGAAAATGTTTTCAGGACAACAGCATATAGCCGAGAATTCCGGGTGGGGCCAGTGGGGCCTGGGCCCGGGCAAATCTCCAAGCTCCAGCTCTTCCATTTTGAAATGTGACTTTGGCGCCTCAGAATTGTCAGAAATATGTACAAAATTTCAAAAGGGATGGCCCCCAGACACCCTGCTAGTAACTCGTGGCTACGCCTGCCCCACCTGGCCACAAAATCTGAGACCTAATTCACTCCTGGTGACAGGGCTGGCACCATAAGATTAGAGTGACGTACCTTTATGTCCAAATGTAAAATATTCCTGTCATGTAGATGTTTCACTGTTTCTAATAGTCGGTTCATGATGGTGGCTACATTGTTATCAGTCCAGTTGTTCTGGTCTACAATTCTATCAACCAGTCCTCCACCATTTAATCTGTAGCATGGTCAAGGACTATTTTGTTCACCAGAATCTCAAGCTACATGCAACTCTTTTTTAATCTTGAAAATGACATGCTGTTAGTAAAACAAAATAAAAAATGAGAAATCAATCCAATACAATGATGAGCACAAACATGCCAATTTAAGGGGACTAAAGGTATTGTGAAGAAGTTTTCTAAAAAATTTTGTTGTTGTCAAGCTATGCATTTTCAACCATTTGTGTCAAACTATGAATTTTCAACCATTTGTGTCAAGCTATGCATTTTCAACCATTTGTGTCAAACTATGCTTTTTCAACCATTTGTGTCAAACCATGCATTATAGAAGATTTTTGTCAAACCAAGTCTTTTCAACCAAACCATATTTGTCAAGTTATGCAATTTCAACCGTTTTTGTCGAACCATGCATTTTAGAATATTTTTGTCACACCAATCTTTGTTTGTCAAACGAAGTGTTCTCAACCAAACCACATTTGTCAAACCATGCATTATAGAAAATTTTTGTCAAACCAACCAGTTATGTAAAACCAGGCATTTAATAATTGAGGATACAGTTCAGTGACGATAATTAAAGATTTAGGTGTTTCATAAGCATCATGTACTCCAACTATATTTTTATGGTTCAACAGTCGTAAAGTTTCCAGTTCGTTCCTAAAGAAATCCTTTTCTCCATCTTCTCGGACAGAGATAAATTTACCTGCATACTGATTTCCAGTTGATTTCTCAATCACTCTTCTTACAATTCCATGTCTACCTCTGGAAAATAAAGTATTTGGGATCCTCAGTGGAGTAGGTAACTCTTTTGGTTGCAAGATCTAATAGATCAAACTTTCATTCCGTTTTTTTTATTAGCTTTTAAGTTTAATATAGCCACTTCAGTTAGGGTCTAACGACAGCCCTCTTGAACGTTCGTCAAATTAACCTTTTGATCTAACTCAACCTAACTCTGCTTTAACCAATCAACTTTCTACCCTTTCCAGCGCTGAGATTTAGTGACACAGTGTTTATCTGGTAAGGTCAAAAGGTTAATTTGATGAACGTTCAAGAGGCCTGTCGTTAGACTGAAGTGACCATTTTAAAACTAAAAGCTAATAAAAAAAATGGAAGTTTGGTCTAGACTGCAAGATCTAGTTACATTTCTTATTTAAGAAAATTCTGGTTGAGTTCATATGTTGCCTTGCATGACCTTAGCAGCTTTCCATTTTGTCATCTATTCTAGAGATCCTAGCTATAAATAGGTAGCAATAATTCAGGAAGAAAAACCAACAAGAGTGTTCACTAAGGGCCAACAGTCAGACAGGATCCACAAGATCCTCAGCTGCAAACCTTATAAAATCATTGCCAAGTTGTTTGGCCAAGGACTAGTTGGTAGTCAGGAGCCTTCATCTTGTAATCCTGGTAAAAATATAGAAGCCTTACCTTCCTAGTTCTTCTAAGATGTAATAATTATCTTCAATGTTGGCATTCTTAAAATCCAAGTCACAAGGTGCTGGTAGGTTATCTGAAAACATTTTCACATTTTTCTTTTAATGGTTGAAAAGGGTGACAAATCATCACAAGCTCTGTCCGTCTTTCAAAAGCACTGGTTGTGGCAAAAGTTTCTTGTCTAAAGAGGGATTTGAAGCTACAACACATATTGCCAAACAGACAAAAATGTCACTTCCAGAAATTGAGTTATTGCACACCTTACCACCAACAGACAACAGCTCTGTGAAGCAATATTTAACCCACTCATGGATATATAAGAGTCTCAAGATGCAGACCAGGAGCAAAATGAAAATGAATGGTGTTTTCCGTCACTTTTCTGCACCTATAATTGGACTATGGAAGATGTGACCACACTATGCTGTGTGCAATGAGGGTAATTGTGCCAGGACAGCCACATTAGCCTTCTCTTTTTCAATTTTTAACTGTCGGGACATTGTCCCATCTAAACGACTAGATGCTTTTTCGATGTCAGACCATGAGCAAGGAAAGATTATCAACCTTCAGAAAGGATGTAAGCTGAAAAAGTCCAGCTCAAAGTACAAATAATCTTTTAAGGGATCACATACCTTCAACTTCAATCCTAGCAGAACAGAAGATTTTTCCAGCAGGATTTTCAGCAACGCAAGTATACTGTCCGGCATCCATGCTTAAAGCGCCATCTACAGTCAGAGAGAAGTAGTCTGGTGATTCATGGCGGATACGAACTCTGGAGGTCTCTGTTAGTGGTCTCCAATCTTTGTTAAATTTGATGGTAGGATAAGGAATTCCGTCAACACGACATTCCAGTTTACCAGTTCCTCGGTTTACTAAGATCAGATCTTTAAGAGGTTCAATAAAGGTTGGTGGATCTAAAGGAAAATAAGAAGATTTTATCAAAACTCACATTTCACATTATCATTATTCCTCTTGGCACAGTCCTTTAACAGAAAGAATTCGAAAATTCCTTCTACAGATTAGATGTTCTAGAAAATATACTTGACAGTTTTACATTTTGTAGCAAAACTTTTTAAAGCGATTGTAAAGAGGTTTTCTAAATTTTTCATGTGTATCAGGGACACTGATATTATCAATTAGCCCCATTCCAATTTTTAATCAACTGTCTTTGTTTCTGCAATTCCACTAAAACTAAGTGTTTGATGACATCACTAAGTGCGAATGACCTCGGGTGATAAAGCATATTTCGTGATTAGTGACGTCATCAAACACTTAGTTTAAGTGGAATTGCAGGAACCACAGACATCTGATTGAAAATTGGAATAGTGCAAATTGATGTCATCAGTGTCCATGATACACAAACAAAATTTAGAAAACCTTTTCATAATTCCTTTAACAGATCCAATTTTTTTTCCCTCGATTAATGAACAGATTCATTGCTTTCAGTCCTGTACCTACCAGCCATTTTGAGTGGGATGATCCTTTCAGCTTTACCATGTTCATTCTCCGCCACGCAGGTATAGTCCCCAATATCATCCCAGGTCACATCCCTGAAATCTAAATCAATCTGACCAACAGGGGAGATAACTAGGTTATAGCGTCCTCCATCAGTGTCCAGTTTCTGTCCCTTGAAGTACCAGGTTATTAATGGCAGGGGATAGCCCTTGACGTCTGCGTATATTTTACAACCCCCACTCTCTACAGCGTACTGATCTTCGTCTGGTGGAGTCAGGAATTCTGGTGGAGAGGCTGGAAGCAAATAAAAATGGAGGCTTGCAAATTGTTGTTCAGATTATAAGGCAAATGAAATGAAATGGAGTTTTACATCCTAATGTTCTGTATCTTATTGTAAAAGTTAACGGAGGTATGGGCAAATTAAGTGGAGTTTCTCTTTGGCTCATGTATATGGGCAACGTCTTGGTCAACACATGGATCAAAAATGTCTTTAAAATGGCATCTCAAATTTGTATCGTCTCTTCCAGATATCCGATTGCAAACAATTTTTTCCATTTTGAAGATGCAAAATATGACATAAAGAGATAGTAAAGAGGTTTTCTAATTTTTTATGTGTATTAGAGACACTGATATCATCAATTTGCACCATTCTAATTTTCAATCAGACATCTGTGGTTCCTGCGATTTCACTAAAAATGAGTGTTTGATGACATCACTCATCGCAAAACATGTTTCATCATGTAAAGCCCTTTGTGATTATTGACTTCATCAAACACTTATTTTTAGTGAAATTGCACGAACCACAGACATCTGATTGAAAATTGGAATGATGAAAATGATATCAGACCCTGATACACATAAAAATTTAGAAAACCTCTTTACAATCCCTTTAAGACAAAATCATACTTCAAAATCCACTTTAGAGAGACACCATGGCTTCTCTGGCTTAAAAAGATCATTAGGATACTTACGAATATAGTCCACAATTCTCTCCATTGTCATGGATCTTTCTCGACTTGTTGTTGTTCCAATACGAACTTTAGAGAAGGGCTAAAACTGTCTCTGGATCTTGATCGACTCGCTTTTCTCTCTTCTACAATACAAAGAGAGAAATTCAATTAAAAAAGCGCAGAATTGGACATGAAAAGATCTGGAAAGCATTGTTATATTGACGTACTTGTTGTTCCCATAGTAACTGCTTATATTATTGTGTATGGTTGTTGTGTATGTAGCAGAGTTAACTTCAGGTCTTAATCCTAATTCAACAATACTGTACAGAATTGCTTTATTTCCCAACCCACAATGCAACAAACATCTTCATCTTACATCCCTTCTCAACCAAAAGTTCCAGCATTACCTCCCCTTTCCCCTAAAAACCAGAAGACAGTAAGATCTTACCTCTTTCTCTGAAGAGTGTTGCAGGCAATGTCGGCTCACTCATACCAAACTCGTTCTTGGCTCGAACACGGAACATATAGTCCTGATCTGGTCTTAGTTTGGACACCTCGTAGTGAGTCTCTGGTAAATCTTCGGTCAGTGTGGTCCACGCATGGCTCGGTGGCTCCCTCATCTCCACAATATAGGTAATGGGTGTGTCTTTAAGATAAGATGGCATTCTTGCCGTTTGCCAAGACAACAGCAGTCTGTCTTCTGCTTGTTTTGTCATGTTTGGTCGACCTGCTGGAACTCTTGGTGGCACTAAAAACATCAAACAGATCTCAACAGATTTGATACTGTGTATTTTTTTTTATCAGAATATGATGAAAAAGATGACTGAAATCACTACCAGAAGATCATGTAAGTTCTTGAGGATCCTTTCTACCAGCTAGTCCTTGAACAAACATTCTGGTAATGATCTTACAAGGATAACAACTTGCTTTCTAAATCCTATCTACCAGCTGGCACATGGTCGAAACATTTAACAATAATCTCTCCCAGATTGTCAATACCGAACTACAGATAAAGATAGCTGGATAGCAATCAGGCTTGTAGATGGATCGTCCCCCACACCTCCGAAAAAAATTCTGACAATTGACCAATTCTATTACTGCAACTAATTACTCATTACCATTGCCCCTCCTGATATATTACTTGCCCACCAAAACAAACATGACTACAGGCCTGACTGCAAGTTTAACTGACATGATTGTGCCTACCTCCTGCTGTAATGGAATCCATGAACCTGGCTGGTGAGATGAGATCTCTGTCTCGATCAGAATCATAAGATCTCTTGATCACTGGAGCTAAAAATAGATATCAAAAAGATACAATATTAAAAGGACAAGTTGATTTGTTATAACGTAAATAGCCTTCAGAAATACTGAAAATGTACAAAAAATCGCATAATTCCTATATACTATATCCTAAATAAATACTTTGTTTTTTCTATATATGGTAGAGTCTCAAGAAAAGAGTTGATATTTTAACATTCAAACTTGACATACATGGATTTGAAGGCTCAAAATTCCACAATATTACTGATAAGCTTAGCTAAAAAATTCCTGTTTCT